GGTTAGCATTTTGTCAACTGAGTTTGGACCTTAAGAGCTCCACAGCTTGTAGATCAAGTCAAATAAGTCAAATGTTACCCGTTATAATGTATCACATGCACACGTATGAAACTTGCCTCGTTTTGTACGTTTCCGGCCTCCAACGTTCTCCCATATTCTAGTAGTATCCGTGCCTCTCTTTCTTGACTGGATTTGAGCTGGCTGCTCTGCAACGTTCCCAGCTGCAAAGTGTCCAACATTTGGCACTAGAAGGAGGTATACGTTACGTAGATTGATAATATGCATTCAGCACATCGTTAAGTATTTTTTACAGTGTTAAGCATGCACAAACACAACAGGAATGTATGTGCCATGTCATCTTTTACAAATCGATGAGAATCAAAACCAATAATCAAATTTGGTAATCATAATCATTATTAAAGTTTAAGATGCTCAACAGTGTTCATTATATGGAAATCCATTTTCTTTTACTTAACTTCTATTAGCTCATTCTTTTGTTCAAAACAGTAAGGATGGTATTAGATGAGATAAAACAAAGATGTACTCACCTGAATCTGTACAAGCTTTGATGAACTTCTGATGAGATTCTTCCCAGTACTTTGAGGACAGAAGCTTCTTCTTACACCTTGCTGCTGTTTCAAACTCTGTCCTGTTGTGCTTTAGCATTTTCTCGATGCTGCGAGCTAGATATTTCACAGTGACACCTTCTTCATGTTCATCCATGTCAACAATGGAATGATGCAGTTCATCTACATGTTCATGGATGAAGTCTGCCAGCCCAGACTTGCTTGATACAAGAACAGGGACGCCTGCCGCGATGGCCTCCAGGCCAACCAGTCCGAACGGTTCAGCACGAGAAGGCATCAGGACCAGGTGGGCCTGCATCATCTCTTTACACATGTCCTTCTGTGAGCCGTATGGGAGGAGGGTTATCTGTAGGTTTGCTGACTTACGGTGCTTTAGGATTGCCTTGCGTGTTTCAATGTCATCTTTGTCAACTCCCGGGGATCCCATGACACGAAACTTAACTTTCATCTTCTCTGCTACAAGGCTCAGGGATTCAACAGCAAGGTCATATCCCTTCAGTATTTCAACACCCTTCACCCTACCGATGGACAGGACCACCATTGTCTCTGTGTCCTTGTATTCAGCTTCTGCATCTTCAAAGATCTTGGAGGGCCTCGGAACAAACTTGACATGCTGAGGCCTCTTGCTGGCAGGTATTGCTCTGAACTGGTTCTCAAAGTGATCAAATATCTTGTTTCCAAGAGAAAAGACCACGTCAGCTTCTTGTGCATCTTCAAGGATGGAGTCTTCCTTCTTCCCAATGCCAATGGCCTTCTCATCTCCCTTGTAGTACTCGGTGTCTTCTGGTATGTCAGTGGTGAAGAGGATGACTGTTGCATCAGACTTAGAATAACGTTCCTGTTTTATCCTAACGGCTGCCCTACTTGTGACGTCGGAGTGGCCGATGATGCTTCTGACCTTTGGGGGAAGATTTTGGTACTTGGACAGGTGGTCAAAGGTCAGCCAATTTGGTGATGGGTCAGTCCGACTAGGATCGTCTGGGTCAAGTGTAGGCGGCAGTAGTTCTATCCCATCGCGTTTTGCATTCTGGATGTCCTCTTCATTCGCTTTTAAAACTGTCATGAGCACAGGTATATCTGATTCGCGTTCCCTGAGTATGTCTACCACCTGCTGGTTTAAGGGGGAGGTTTCATCCTGAGATGAGCCATACTCAGTATGGACCAACAGCACAGCGGGGTTTTCTGTGAAGAAAAACATGACCGTGTACACTAGATTAGGTCACAGCAAGTAATTGTTATGGATGACATCAGCGCGCGCATTAATTTTCGCCTGATTTTGGAGAAAAAAAAAACAAGAAATTTTGTTGCCTTCTGACAGTGGTCACCATGCCGAAAATGGGCAAAGATGTCTGTTACCATGCCGGAAGTTGGATGGTAGATAACTATAAAGAGAGGAGACAAGGAAAGGCTCTGATTTAATGTTTTGTTTCTTACTTTAATGCATGCGCAGTGATATATGTGATGTTGGCTGTGTATATGTGATGTTCCCACTGAATCAAAACCATTTGTACAATGATTGAGTCAAAATTTTAAAATGTAGGAACCTTAATTTTTCGGCCTGCCTTGTTTTTCTTTCGCTCGCTCGCATTAAATTTGGAGTCTGTGGATGATGTCATCCATAGAATTTACTTGCTGTGGCCTTATTGACTTGACAACTGAAAACAATTATTTGCACAATGTCATGATAACTAAGCCACTTATCATGGGAATATCAGCAACTACTGTAGCTATACCGGGAAATTGACATTGTGATCACGGCACATTTTAGTTCTACATTGTACAACTTGAGTGGTATTGACTTACCCATGGTTGTCCTACACCATCAATTGTTAATCTTCATGGCGTCATGATGTACTGGTAAGGTAAGACGTCAACTGGGATCATAGGTAACAAAATGATGTTAGTGTGTGTGTATGGGGGGGGGG